GATGGGGGCGAGTTTTGCCCCGTCCTATGCCAATTTATTTTTGGGCTTTTGGGAACAATCTGTGATTTTTTCAGATCAATTTTGGATGGGTAGACTCGCCCTTTATCGCAGGTTTATTGACGACATTCTTATTGTCTGGAAGGGTGGTTGGGATGAAGTAGAAGATTTTATGGCACATATTAATGACAACCAATGGGGTCTTTCTTTTACCTATAAGAAACACAAATCCACCATAGAGTTCCTGGATCTTACCCTTATTGGAACTATAAGTTCGATTGTCACCAAAACTTTTCAAAAAAGTGTGGATGTCAATGGCTATCTACATGCCATGAGTGGGCATCATCCCACATGGATACAAAATATACCTTTAGGACAATTTACCAGGATCAGGCGTAACTGCTCCTATGTGAGTGATTACGAGAAAGAGTCACTGGTTCTGTCCCGACGTTTTGTAGAGAAATCCTATCCATTGAACAATATTTTACAAGCTTATCTAAAGGGCCATAATTATGGCATGGAATCAAGTTCTGGTGTTGAGAATGGGATGGTTTTTGGGGTAAATCCTCCTTTACTATTCCTAAATCCAGAACATGACCATACAAAAGAACATTTTAGGATTCTTGAACTTTTGAACTCTAGTATTTCTTCAAATAAAGCTAAAAGAGCGAAATTCAACATCAGTACCAAAGAGGTTGGTACAGGGAGAACACCCATATTCTCTACCACCTTTAATAAGGGCTATGATGATATCATTGAAATACTTAACAAACATTGGCCCATATTGATTAAAGATCCTTGGTTGTCATTCTGTGTGTCTGGGACCCCAAGGGTCACCTTTAGAAGGGCACCAAATTTGAAGAATATTTTAGCCCCTTCTAAATTACGTAGCCCAACTACACTTCATCAGACAACTGCTGTCAGTATTTTGGCTAATAAACGTTGTGGTCACACTAGGTGTCTTACTTGTGGTTTTATTTGCCCTCATACTTCTACCTTTAGTCCATTTGACAATACGGAGATTTTTTGTATACAATCTTTGATCTCCTGTAACACTTCTTTTGTGGTATATCTTCTTATCTGCCCTTGTGAACGGCATTATGTGGGCCAAACCATTAGACCTCTGAAATGTAGATTTCGGGAACATAGAACAGCTATTATCCGTAATGATGATAAATCTTCGGTGGCCCGACATTTTTCTATCTTTCATGATAGTAATCCTGTTGGTATTAAGTTAGTGGGAATAGTGCATATTCCCCCCCATCAGGATGAAGCAAAACGGAGAAGGGAGCTCACTAAGGCTGAGTCCATGTGGATTTTTAAGCTCAACTCTATGACTCCTAATGGCCTCAATGAGGAGTTGGAGTTGTTCTGATCCCTATGGATTCACCTTTTATGGGTGGTATGTCCTTTCTGGTAGTGTTATGAGATTCAGAGTCTATCTATGACAATTTAATAATATACTATGAAATAAAAATAAAAACATGGTTTCTTCTTTTTTATTTTTAATGTACACTCATGTTACTGTATATATTGGTTGCCTGACCTTTTTATATTAAGATGTTATATATATGTTATAATATGTCAATTTTATGTATAAAAAATTTTTTTATGTTATTTTCTTTTGTATTGTGAATCCAGTGCCGTTTTTATTTTTTTATTTTTTATTTTTTTGCCGAGTGTGGGGTATTTATACTGGTTTGCTTACACATTATTTTCAGTCTTGATAAAGTCCCGTGGGAGGGATGAAACGCGTAGACAGGTTGTGTTCTGGACCTGCTGCTTTTTGATTGCTGTTCTGGAGTGATAACAGGAAGCACGGAATCATTTATCCATTTTTGGCGGTTTTTCCTTCATTGGGCTCTGTTTGTTGGATCCTATCTTTGAAGCCTCACCTAACGGTGTCCACCGCGGTCTTTTTTGAAGATCCCGACCGCGGTGTATCAACTTACGACCTCCATGGATATTTAGTGTGCCGTATCCCTCTATCTCACATTTTCAGACTCTGTGCTCTCTTTTTTTCCTCGGTGGGGGCCCACACCGAGGACAGGTACTGTGTTTATATATTCTCACATTAGAGTATATTCATTACTATACTTGTATTAGGGTTTGGGGTGGGGCAACACTTAGATACTTTGTCTCTGTATCATTGCATTGAGTCTGGGTGTTGCTACCACTCAATTTCCTTACTTATTAGAGAGCTGTGTGGTTATATTTGTTTCAGGATAGCGATATTGTTTTTATTTGTTATATAATAGGTCCAGATCACCTTTTGTATTTTGATAATTATTTATTATTTTTTAACTGTTTCTGATGAATAAACAGTGGTTTATCTATTTATGGTTATAATTTTTTATTTTTATGATTGGGCAAGTGTCCACACTTTTACAGTTTGTGAGCTTCCACTCAATATTAGTCGCTGGTGAGTGTGTGGAATTACCCCTTCTATTTATTTATTACACCATTACCGTATATTTTTATATTATTTTCTATTTAGTATACCAGCGCAATTTTTGGTGTAGTGTCAGGCAACTAGTTTCATTTATTGGTAGTGATTCTCACATTTAGTAGACGCTACTGTCTGCAAGTGCACATATATTTGTCCTTATCCAAGTCTTTCTTTGTATAAGGTACCCTATTAAGTACTAATAAATGGATCTTCATAGTATTACACATAGGCTTGATAGGAGAATGAATCTCTTGAAGGATAGAGATTCGGAAGATATAGATACGATTCCGGTGATCGAAACCAATATACATAAGTTATTTTTTGAGTTAGAAAAAACCCTTAAGTCAGAAATGAGAGATTGGTGGGATAGTGCCCTTCTGAAAAAATATATTGATAACAAATTCATTCCAAGAGGTCTTAGGTTCGAGAAACAACCCTTCTTTAACGATAACACCCTATTAGAACAGGAATGGTTGGGGGCTCTAGATACCTGTTCTTTTGTACTTATGGATATTTTGGTCAGGTATAGAGAATTTAGACTCCTTGATACAGAAAAGTCCATTAAGGAAATACAAGAACGGATAGGTTCCGTACAGGGGCAATCCTCTGTTATTTCTAATCTAGACGAGGCCACTAATCAGAGGCTTATGGGTTTCGAGAAAGATCTGATTTTACATAAAAAGAGTAAATTCCAGAGAGATAAACTCGATTATCAAAATGGACAAATAAGGAGTTGGCAACGTAAACGGGTCTCTAGGTCCACCCAAAATAATAATAATAAAAATTATCGAGAAAGAAATAAGGAGGGTAATATCATTTGCCCTTATTCATCCCCTGATAGAGGTTTTAAATTGAAGTCCAAAACTTATGCTGATATTGTAAAAAATCCTCGGTTTAGAAGGAGGTCCCCCTCCACTGTTAACAGGAGGAAGTCAGTCTCGAAATATAATAATAATAAAAACCTTGTAGCAGTTTTACCACGTCATAAAAATAGTAACAACTATGAGAAACATGATCCACAAAATCCCAATTGGATTCCATTGGGATCTAACCCCCAATACAATAGAGCCAAGGAGGGTTTTAAAGTTGGGTCTGAATTGACGTGTGCTCAAGGGGCTAGACCAAAAAAGATAGACCGCAATTGTCAGCTTGCTAGTGATCATTTAGATGATGATTTTTTAGAATCTCCCCCCTTCCATCAATTGGAAAAGGAGAAAACGTTCCCCCTATTCAGACGCCACCACAAAAAGAGGGGGATCGATGTGGAAGATCAAATGGAAGGGGTGAACAGTCCAGCCAAAGCGAGATGCCTTTAAATAAAGGCTTGTTCAATTTATCAACCCATGAGTTAAGTATTGGAGAAACTATACTTTTAAATAAAGGACTTAAATATGCTCCTGATAGACTACCTAATATAATGGATCTATTTAAAGATCTCAATTACTTTATTAGAAAACTTACATGCATTAGATTCTTTAATCTCAGTGATGCGAAGGGCAAAGATATTTGTCCTAAATTTCTGAATACTCCACAGGACAAAATTCTTTTTCATGGTCTTGTCTCGTTACTAGAGGAACAAGAACATCAATACTGTATGGAAGATCCTATTGATATAGTTGAAGCCAATATTCCATCAGGGTTAAAGCCTCCCTCTACTTTTTATCCACAGGGTGATAAAGGCCCTTATTTACAAATGTTTTATGAATTTGTCCTACGAGATTTTAAGATCCTCTGTAGTGAATATAAAAGGAGAAAAGATCGGGTTTGTAACAATCTGGAGCCATCAGAGATAGCAGCGATTGCCAGTTTAAAAAATAATCATAATCTCATTATCAAAGGGGCCGATAAGGGAGGGGGTATTGTCTTGCTGGATAAAGCAGATTACCTACAGGAAGCTGAACGTATATTGGGGAACACAGAATACTATGAGACTTTAGGGTCTGATCCCACTAAGCGTTTTAGACGAGAATTGAGAGATCTCATAGATTTAGCATTTCAACATGGTGCCATTGATAAGAAAGAGAGGAATTTTTTTCTCTCAGCTAAAGGGGATATTCCCATTTTTTATTACCTTCCCAAGGTACACAAATCCCTTCATAATCCACCAGGGCGCCCCATTATATCTGGGCTAGGCTCCCTTATTGCACCTATTTCTAAGTGGGTGGATTTTCATTTACAAAGATTTGTCCCACATTTACCGTCCTTTTTGAAAGATACAGGGCATGTTTTGTCTATTGTTAAAGAAACCGAATGGAGGGAACACTATTGTTGGCTCACTATTGATGTGGCAGCCCTATACTCGAATATAGATCACACTTTGGGCCTTAAAGCTTTTGCTTGGTATTTGGATTCAGATCCTCTTCTTCCTGTCAAGCAGTCTGAATTTATTATTGGGTTCACTGATTTTATGTTAAAGCACAACTATTTTGAATTTAATGGAAAGTTTTTCCTGCAAACAAAAGGAACTGCGATGGGGGCGAGTTTTGCCCCGTCCTATGCCAATTTATTTTTGGGCTTTTGGGAACAATCTGTGATTTTTTCAGATCAATTTTGGATGGGTAGACTCGCCCTTTATCGCAGGTTTATTGACGACATTCTTATTGTCTGGAAGGGTGGTTGGGATGAAGTAGAAGATTTTATGGCACATATTAATGACAACCAATGGGGTCTTTCTTTTACCTATAAGAAACACAAATCCACCATAGAGTTCCTGGATCTTACCCTTATTGGAACTATAAGTTCGATTGTCACCAAAACTTTTCAAAAAAGTGTGGATGTCAATGGCTATCTACATGCCATGAGTGGGCATCATCCCACATGGATACAAAATATACCTTTAGGACAATTTACCAGGATCAGGCGTAACTGCTCCTATGTGAGTGATTACGAGAAAGAGTCACTGGTTCTGTCCCGACGTTTTGTAGAGAAATCCTATCCATTGAACAATATTTTACAAGCTTATCTAAAGGGCCATAATTATGGCATGGAATCAAGTTCTGGTGTTGAGAATGGGATGGTTTTTGGGGTAAATCCTCCTTTACTATTCCTAAATCCAGAACATGACCATACAAAAGAACATTTTAGGATTCTTGAACTTTTGAACTCTAGTATTTCTTCAAATAAAGCTAAAAGAGCGAAATTCAACATCAGTACCAAAGAGGTTGGTACAGGGAGAACACCCATATTCTCTACCACCTTTAATAAGGGCTATGATGATATCATTGAAATACTTAACAAACATTGGCCCATATTGATTAAAGATCCTTGGTTGTCATTCTGTGTGTCTGGGACCCCAAGGGTCACCTTTAGAAGGGCACCAAATTTGAAGAATATTTTAGCCCCTTCTAAATTACGTAGCCCAACTACACTTCATCAGACAACTGCTGTCAGTATTTTGGCTAATAAACGTTGTGGTCACACTAGGTGTCTTACTTGTGGTTTTATTTGCCCTCATACTTCTACCTTTAGTCCATTTGACAATACGGAGATTTTTTGTATACAATCTTTGATCTCCTGTAACACTTCTTTTGTGGTATATCTTCTTATCTGCCCTTGTGAACGGCATTATGTGGGCCAAACCATTAGACCTCTGAAATGTAGATTTCGGGAACATAGAACAGCTATTATCCGTAATGATGATAAATCTTCGGTGGCCCGACATTTTTCTATCTTTCATGATAGTAATCCTGTTGGTATTAAGTTAGTGGGAATAGTGCATATTCCCCCCCATCAGGATGAAGCAAAACGGAGAAGGGAGCTCACTAAGGCTGAGTCCATGTGGATTTTTAAGCTCAACTCTATGACTCCTAATGGCCTCAATGAGGAGTTGGAGTTGTTCTGATCCCTATGGATTCACCTTTTATGGGTGGTATGTCCTTTCTGGTAGTGTTATGAGATTCAGAGTCTATCTATGACAATTTAATAATATACTATGAAATAAAAATAAAAACATGGTTTCTTCTTTTTTATTTTTAATGTACACTCATGTTACTGTATATATTGGTTGCCTGACCTTTTTATATTAAGATGTTATATATATGTTATAATATGTCAATTTTATGTATAAAAAATTTTTTTATGTTATTTTCTTTTGTATTGTGAATCCAGTGCCGTTTTTATTTTTTTATTTTTTATTTTTTTGCCGAGTGTGGGGTATTTATACTGGTTTGCTTACACATTATTTTCAGTCTTGATAAAGTCCCGTGGGAGGGATGAAACGCGTAGACAGGTTGTGTTCTGGACCTGCTGCTTTTTGATTGCTGTTCTGGAGTGATAACAGGAAGCACGGAATCATTTATCCATTTTTGGCGGTTTTTCCTTCATTGGGCTCTGTTTGTTGGATCCTATCTTTGAAGCCTCACCTAACGGTGTCCACCGCGGTCTTTTTTGAAGATCCCGACCGCGGTGTATCAACTTACGACCTCCATGGATATTTAGTGTGCCGTATCCCTCTATCTCACATTTTCAGACTCTGTGCTCTCTTTTTTTCCTCGGTGGGGGCCCACACCGAGGACAGGTACTGTGTTTATATATTCTCACATTAGAGTATATTCATTACTATACTTGTATTAGGGTTTGGGGTGGGGCAACACTTAGATACTTTGTCTCTGTATCATTGCATTGAGTCTGGGTGTTGCTACCACTCAATTTCCTTACTTATTAGAGAGCTGTGTGGTTATATTTGTTTCAGGATAGCGATATTGTTTTTATTTGTTATATAATAGGTCCAGATCACCTTTTGTATTTTGATAATTATTTATTATTTTTTAACTGTTTCTGATGAATAAACAGTGGTTTATCTATTTATGGTTATAATTTTTTATTTTTATGATTGGGCAAGTGTCCACACTTTTACAGTTTGTGAGCTTCCACTCAATATTAGTCGCTGGTGAGTGTGTGGAATTACCCCTTCTATTTATTTATTACACCATTACCGTATATTTTTATATTAATTTGCTAACTGAACACAAATATTAGTGTTTCAAAACAGTAAAATATATTACAAAAATGTTTGCATTTTTCACACACAAATGGCACTTTTGTTGTGATACATTTTACTGCTTTGAAACACTAATATTTGTGTTCAGCAAAGTCTCCCGAGTATAACAGTACCCCTCATGTACAGGTTTTATGGTGTTCTCTAAAGTTAGAGTCAAATACAAGGCTTGCATTTCAGTTTTCACATTGAAATTCGCCAGGTTGGTTAATTTGCCTTGGAGACCGTACGGTAGCCCAGGAATGAAAATTACCCCCATGATGACGTACCATTTGCAATAGTAGACAACCCAAGGTATTGCAAATGGGGTATGTCCAGTCTTTATAGAATCAAGAATCAAGGGAATAGAATAGAATCAAGGGAGCAGGTGGTGGGGAGGAAGGATCGGAGCAGAAACCTCTTTCACTGCAGCATGTGCATAGAACAGCAGAGGGAGTGAGGTTGGGGACGTATTGTATGGGGAAGGAGAGTGGTGAGAGATCCCATCCCTAATTGTAGAGATATTGTCAGTGAAGTGGTGGTCAAGTTGGTAGGAGGAGGAGGAGCAACAGGACGAAGAAGAGAGTTAAAAGTGTGAAAAGCCATTTGGGTTTGCTGGATAGTGTGGTTATGAGGGTATGGAAGTAATTTGCTTTTGAGAGGAAAGAGCCAAGCTGTAAGAGCACAGCATAAATTTGTAGTGGAGAAAGTCAGACGCAGAGACTTTCTCTTGCAGCGTTCAGCAGTTCTGGAGCATTTTGGAGGTATCAAGTCAGTTTGGTGTGCCAAGGTTGTAGATGGAGTGCTTGCTGCGTTTAAGTATAGGAGCTGCCATGATGTCTAGTTGAGAGGAGTGGCTGGAATTATAGAAGGGGGTTGCAGAGCTAGGGCAGGTTAAGTTTGAGAGAGGCAAAGGCAGTTTGGAGGTTAGTGGAGAATTGCTCAAGGTCAAGACATTGGAGGTTTCTGTGAGACTGTCGATGGTGGTGTCAGTAGGGTCCTGGGTATGCCGATGTAAAAATTTAGCAGATGGTGGTCAGATAGAGGAAAAGGAATATTGGAGAGATTAGACGTGGGACAGAGGTTAGTGAAGGTGAGATCAAGAGTTTTTCCTGTTGTATGGGTTGCTGAATTAGACCATTGCATGAGGCCAAAGGAGGAGGTTACAGAGAGCAGACGGATGTTGAAATTCCCAAGTATACAAGGAGTGCTAGAGGAGAGAAAGTGAGGTAGCCTGAAAGAAAAGTGTGTGTGTGTGGGGGGGGGGGAGGTGGATGGGAGGAAGCGGTTGATGATGGCAATTCTTGAAAGAAGTGGTTTAAATAGGTGGACAGTGTCAACTTTAATGGAAGTAAAAGAGAGGGCCGGGAAGATTGGTTGAATTGTACACTGAGAGAAGAGAAGGATGCCTACACCACCTCTTTACAATTAAGTCTGGGAGTGTGAGAGAATTGTAGCCCACCAAAACATAGAGAGGCATGAGTAGTACTACCAGAGAAGGAGAGCCAGGTCTTAGTGAATGCTAATTGTGTGGGTGAGTTTGAGGTAAAAAAGGTTATGTATGGCTGTTGATTTCAGATTGCTGCAGATGGAGTGGGCGAAACAGAGTGCACACTGAATGTTGGTAAATGAGGGTAAAGGGCAGGATATTGTGATGAAATTTATGTATTTCTCGTTGTCTTAGTGTGTGTAGAGAAGGTGAAGGACCCTGAGTTGGGGGAGACATCACCAGCTGCTAGAAGCAGGAAGAGAGATAGTGACAGGAAGTGGGTTTTGTGTGCATGGGGTCTGGAATGAGATCGATTGTAAATAGGAAAGAGAGAGTATAAAAATTAGTGCAGGACATGGGATGAGAGAAAGGGGGAGTGTAGCAGAGAGGGGGAAATGTAAAGGTTTTTGGGGGATGAGGGAAGTGGGTGTAAGGAGAGATTTTGATATTGAGGGAGAAGAAGACAGAGCATTGCTAAACTGGGAAAAGGTCAATTGGAATATAAAAAACAGGAATAGGAATGGTTAAGATAAAGTTTCAAGGGTTAAGAAAGTGCAGGACTGTACTGATAAGAGCCAGTGTAGGAAGTGCAGTGGGACTCTTATCAGGATGTCCCCATCTTTCTTCTTATGGGTTCTTGTACGTAGTGTAAACAAATGATGATGAAGTGGCTCCTTTCCAAAAAGGTCCTTTATTTCATGTAAAATAAAACTGAGTATAGACGTCCGATCAAAAAAGTCTCTGGCTTGTGCCTGAAAAGTCCGAAACGCGTTTCTCTGTGACAAGGGCGTCCTCAGTCAGAGTTATGTATGCAAGTTCCTTGTCATTCTTTTAAATGGCTGCCAGCATCTCTCTTTCAGATTCGTCATTCAATGCTTTGAATGCATTGTGCGTTCCAACCCGTGTTGACGGAACTTCATGGCTGCGCTTCTCACACGTCAATGGAGCGCATGATGTGTATTGGTGTGTCTACCATCATAATGTGCATGTGCAAAGTGGTACTCATTCGCCCTCGAAGGTAAAAGACTGGTAACTATGTTTCTCAAAAGGCTATATATGCGCTTGAATGTCCTTGTAGTTTATTATATATCGGAAGAACTATAAGATGTGTCAATTTAAGGATAGCTAAACATGTAAGACACATCAGAAAGGGATTGGAGACCCAAAATGTCTCCAACCACTTTAGGATGTTTCATAGCCAAAACCTTGAGGGTCTTTTATTTTGCACTCTGACATTAGTAAGAAGAGACTGAAGAGGAGGGGACCGTAACAAAAAGATAACTGAAGAGACTAAATTTATTTTTAACTTTAACACTCTTGTCCCAAACGGTTTGAACCAAGACTTTGAACTCTGAGATTTCTTTTAGCTATGTGTTTTTTTTTTGTTTTTTTTAAACTGTATGTGTTGAACACCTCTTCACCATAATGCTGTCCAGGAAGTAGGAGGGTCTGGGAGGGAGGGTCTGCCGGAGATTGGCAGGGATGTGTCAGCGGACCGGAGTTCGCCGCGAATGGTTCGTGGTGAACCGTGGCGACCCGTTCGCGGCAAGTTCGCGAACGGTTCGCGACATCACTAATCATGAGTCTATAGCAGGGGTTCCCAATCCAGTCCTCAAGTACACCCTACCAGTCCAGGAATTAGGGATTATCCTGTTGTGTCTAAAGTGTGTTTTGTTGTTTTTTTTTTCTAAAAATACCTTGGACACAACTGGGTAATCCCTAAATCCTGGACTGTTTGGGTGTAGTTGAGGATTGAGTTGGGAACCACTGGTCTATAGTGTGTAGCCACAAAGGTAAAAATAAAATGTGTCCAACAAATGCATGAATCCCAAAGGTCTTGCTGTGGAAAACGTATCCTGCTACAAGACAGGCAAGACAAATATGCATAGGTTTTTTTAAGATTTAAGAATACGCGTTTATA